GTACGTAACGTATATAGACAAATATTTAAATAATCACCCCTTTATTTAATTTTTAAGCTTTTCTCAATAATTTATATATAAAACAAATTAAGAATAAGCTAAATTAAGCTATTGGGCTCATACCTCTAAAATAAAGTTTTTCTTAAATCAAGTGCCTCATAAAACGATTGCCATTGGATGCCAATAATATTATTGAGGAAAACGTGTATTTTGTATGTTTGTAACGAAAACTCGACCTGCTGGACCAATTTCAATAATTACGTCTCCATTTTAATATTTTGATTTATGTATTTCCAAAATATAAATAAATAAAATCCTCCGTGCAAAGCCGGAATACCGCTAGTCAAACATATCAATAACTGTTAAACTTCCTATTACCGACTTAATTTTTATAATAATTCTATTTTAATTTTAATTATTTCGTCATCGTTCAGTTTATGACTATTTAAATGAACCTTACCAATATGCGGAAGTAGAGTTTTATTACCTTATCATAAAAATATACTTCGCAAACCTTGGTCAAATCCAAATCTGACAAAAAATACTGATAATCCGGTCAATGATCTGGTAAAGAAATATTTTAAACACATTTGCGGATAAATATTTAATAAGGTATGTATTTTACGCTAAATCCAGTAGATGCATTTCAAACTTTACAGATTTACGTCAGAATAGAATAAAGTAAATTAGCCAAAGTTGAGACTAGTTCTTCAGAGCAGAGGTTCTTTAGAATTAAGATGTCCATTTGTATCGACTTTCAGGATTACCAGTTCCTCTGTGATTAAAGGATTTTGTGGGACTCAAAATACACCCAACCTGATATCGTCACGTTGTTGTGTAGTGGCGTGTGCTATAATAATATAAATCCTTCAAATCTCTACTGTACAAATATTACCTGTCCACACTCCACATCCTATCCCTAACTTTCGTACTAACTGGTGTGAAACTGATCTAAAGTTATCGTGATTCATGTGCACTTTGTCTTTTTCATGTATCCTCTTTTAGTTTAGTTTTGTCTAAATAACTATACGTATTATGTATTTTTTCACTTCTTGCTTACATTATCTAAAAAAAAACTCACAGTTGCCTGGAAGAGATCGCTCGAAAGCTATAAGGCCGCTAGGTTCCTTTTCATTTAATTATGTCAATTGTATTCTATTTCTGTATGCAACGAAGTGTTAATAAATAAATTAAAACAATAGTCACACAGGTTCTTACCACTCTCCGTGCAGGAGGCCCCAGACGTTGCCTTCAAATGGGCGAAGGAGACCCAAAAATACCTCTATATTCCGTTAAGATAATAATATTATAATATCGTATGCGATATTATTATATTTGGCTCCAAATGTGTTGCTAACACAGAAACAAAGGCCGTTTTTATTGACAAAGTATTAGTTTCTATCAAAGTAAGACGAGATAAGATATTGAGAGCACGTAACATATGTTTTAAAAGATATATCTGTCTGCAGTATACAAAAACATTTAAGTGTCTTCATAGGGATATAATATGCCTGTATATTTTCTTATAATAAGATTTATGATAGCGTGGTCACGCTGTAAAGAAAAGCTATTTAAAATTATGTTAAATAGTTGTAAATTTATAATAATACATAACCCCAACCGGTAATAGTGTTTTATTAATGTATATTTTCTTATACTAAGATTTATGATATCTACTAATATAGAATATATGAAATGCCCAAACCCAAAAAATAAGGAAAGTCAAGTTATTATGTCTAGGTTAAGGATAATGATTAATGAAGAATATTTGATTTAAAAAAAACCTCGAAATCAAATATGTAAATCGCAAATACCTTACAGGTGTTAATGTCGTCATAAATTCGCCGCATCATTTATAAATATCATATACATACAGGAATCTGATATTTTATTTGCATATTATAAAACATTTTATAAATAAAATATTTAATTTAATTACATTTTTTAAATATTTCATAACCTATGAAAATTCATGTGAGCATTGGCCTAGTGGCTTCAGCGTGCGACTCTAATCCCAGTGGCCGTAGGTTCGATCTCCGGCTTCAGCTTTCAGTGCGCGTACATTCGCTCGATGATGAAGGGAACCATCTCGGCTGTGCCTTAGACCCAAATCGAGACGTGGTCACCTGCTTGCCTATAAGATTGACAAATGATCATGAAACAAAAATTGGAAGCCCAGACCTAAAAAGGTTGTAGATTTTTTGACAATTCAAAATTCACATTCTACATTTATTTCTATGTCATTAGTAAAATCTATTTAAAATAATAGTAAAATGATTTAAGGAAAGATTCAAATCAGTGTACGTCTTGTAATTAAATCGGGCTCGAAATACCAATTTGGCGAGAAAACAAAAGAAGAAACGAACCGTTCCGTTTTATTGTAATTGGTCAAAGGCTTCAGTCCAACACGCATTGACACGCAAAATAGTGATATTGCGTTCGTTTGACCGATCACAATCAAACCCACATTTTCGTTTGTCGTTTTTATATTTTATTTTAGGAGTGCTTTAATTTGATATAATTATGTGAAGGATTACGCCGTTATTTATTTGCTGATTCTTGCGAGTAAATATCGTGATACGGCGACCCAAATTTCCACTCGTATTTTGTACGTTTATGACATTTTCACGACCAATATCCGTACTGGTTTATGGCATTTGAACTGCTTATAAAAATCGCATTAGGGCATTCATTACTTCAGTAGTACTTTTTTTATATGATTGCTTTTGTAGATTTTATAATAGCTCGAGAATTATGATACTAACAGGCAGAAAAAAAGGTATTCTTAGTGACAAATTGAATAGTTGGACAATGTCCTTTCGAGAAGTTTTTATACATTATTTACATATATATATATATATAGATACATGTACAAATATTCGCTGAAGCTATGTAAAACTTTATTTATAGATATTGTTTTAAATCACATTAGAAACCCTATTTGTATGACGTAGATATTTCCTTCTTTGTTACATTATGTACCACCACGATACAATAAATTATAGAATTAGTTTAATTTTCGCTATGTGCTCTCGTATACTTTATTTCGTAACACAGGTATATAACTAATAATAACGGGTGTCCCGTAGGCTCGTTTGCTATTAAAAAAGGGCGTGCGTACAAAGTACATTAGTAGTTCTCACTCTCTCTCAATCGGTCTCAATCGCTCTCTCTTTTCTTCGACAAAAACGCTGCACATCTTCGTGACGTTTTTTAAAAAAAATACCCTCATGCGCATAAAAAAGTTTTACTTCAAAAATCATTTTAAAAATAGTAAATTAACATATTTAATGAAACATAATTAAAACTACATTTAAAGCAAGAGAGCAAAATTCATAAATATTTCTTTCCCGTTTAAAGTTTAACCTTATTATTTCACGAATAATATAATAATTTAAATTAGCTATTACAATGAACGTTTCGTGACCAAGTAATAACCATTTATATTTACAATAAAAAAAATGTCGTGACTAAAAGGATGGAAAACGTGTGAAAATATTATTAAAACATTATTGATTGTAATGAGGAATTAATTTTAAGGTCATAGCGTATTGTCGGTTACGGCAAAGTAATAGATGTACCGTTTTACCTACCATAAATAGTTATTTTGATGGATGATAGAAATACCACATATATTTTAAATTCTCCAAATATTTTTTAATAACAAAAAAATTTAAAAAAAAACAGGCAGGCGGCTCACCTGATGTAATGTGTGATGATTAAGTAAGCACAGCTCTTAAAATAACATAAACGTATTATTTTTTTGTAAGAACACTCGAAAATGCATTTCGTTTTCAATCATAGACAATGTGTGGGTAATATGTGTAAGTAAGTAAATTATTACTGTTGACGTAATCACCGAACAATAAAATCAAAGACCCTAGTGATTTCGTAATACTTGAACGGCCCCCTATGGGCACTTACATTGCTAGAAGGCTGGCAAGTGCGTTGCTGGCCTTTTAAGATTTGGAACGCCCTATTCTTAAAGTATCCTAAGTCGAATTGGTTCGGAAATACTTCAGTGGGCAGCTGGTTTCACATAGTGGTGGTAACGAGCGTGTGGTAGTTTATAATTACTTACATCTTTTAAATTCGGAAAATAAATAGAAATTGGGTATTCCTATTTTATCAAAGTTTTGATTTTGTTTTCGTATGCTTGCTCACATTTTCCGTTTGAAGGAATGATTTATTGATTTTTAATACTGAAGTCTACGGCCGATGACCGGGGGTCAATGACCGTCTGACGTGTTTTGTTTATCACGCCCTAATTTGTTATTAATATTTCCCTCAATAATAAAAATTACATTTATTATTTACGCTTCACTGAATCCGTTTGTTAGATCAAAACAACTCAAAACAAGTTGTCTTTAATTGTATGTTGTTTAATAAACAAGTTTGACTTCTGATTAATCTTTATTCCAAAAATGCGCAACTAGGTATATTAAGATATTGATTAAATTGTTTAAGTAATTTTCCCATAATTTTTTGTTAAAATAATAGGAGGCAAACGGGCAGGAGGCTCACTTGATGTTAAGTGATACCGCCGCCCATGGACACTCACACTGCCAGAAGGCTCACAAGTTTGTTGCCGGCCTTTGAAGAAAATATTATATTATATATATATGCACTTAATATATGTAATATATATATATATATTTATATATATATTTATATATATATATTTATATATATATATATACGTATATTTCTAGCCTAGTTATAAACATTTCGGGAACTTTTCTGATGACATCCTCGTTGTTTCAGGTCCCGGCTGTGGTGAAATACCTCGCCGGTTATGGAGCAGCTGTTGATTTCCCTGTAATGACATCCTAACACAACCAATGCGAGAGGCTGCGTCCACGACGATAACTCTCGCATACAATTAACGTTATCGTATAGTGCTGATAACTTAATAATCGAACGCAAGTCGCGCGGGTTGCACGCATTCAGCGCCCCGGTGTTAGTGTCAGTGATTTTGAAAATCGAATGTGCATTTAAAAATGCGTGTCGGAAATCTGTGGTCAGGCCTGGCTGTCAGCTGGGTAGTGACGTTTGTTCAGTGTCATACGGCGGGAAGCGAATTGGAATCAACGAGATACGGTCCAGCCGAAGAGAGATTTGGTAGTGATACATATACCATAGCGAATATAAATATAACATATGAAGATGAGCATGGCGAAATGTTTACAGACACATCCGAGGTGAGAAAGAAACACTACGTACTACACTATTCCGTGAGTAATATAGATTTAACGCTTTTTTATGTCAGCTATAACTAGGTTACAAATAAATAACGCTTTAGGATTATGCCCTATATATATTCCAGGATATGTCCCTGGATAACAAGTCTAGGTGATATTATTTTTAATGCATGTAACTTTCCAATGGGACATTAAGCAGTCACATACAAACAATTGTTGTATCTTAGGGAATCAAACCAGGTGTTTAAGAGTTTATATACACTTAAATTTGTATAGAATTTTAATTTTTGTTGGCAACAATTAATTCTTATTTTTTATGTCAATTTTAAATTATTTTCTGTTTTATCCTATTCTGAAAGTTACATATGCCCATTGAACTAGAGTTTGACCCAGTACTGCAATCCGTCAGATATTACTACTAAAAATAATGTCGTAGTTATTTGGGATTTGGACCCTAATATTTGGAAAAGCCAAAATTAAAACCGTGACGATAATCGCTAAGGTTATATTATTATTACATTTAATGATTGTGTCTCCAAAATTCTGAATTTTGATTTTAATATATCAAGAACAAAAAGATGAACAGTATTTGAGGTAAATCAATATTTTGTTTAGCCCAACAAAACGATAAGAAAAAGATAATGTAAATAAAAATATAAAAAAAGGAGTGTAGAAGAAATCGATATGTATTTCTTTATGAATTAGATGTTTATGGAGCGCTCTGAGTTGGTTCATCTATTTAATTTTCATATGAGAAATTCCAAAAATTGTTTATGTACACAGTGTAGCGTAACCGTGCCATATAATTTCAAAATTTTCGATTAAATAAATCCACTAAGTACTTAAATGAAATACTATATTGGCCAAAATTGACATAATAATTACGTTATTTATCCTCAATATTAAATAAGTACATTATAAATTGAATAACTTCAGGATGTTACAGAATTATCAATAACATTATTCGTTACTAAACACGATATTTTAATCGAAGGATTTTCTTTCACTTTCCAATGACGTCACTCATATACGTTGGGAGACAATCATATATACAGTAAATTAATCGCCACCCTGGCCTATGGGTTCATAGTAATTTACAATTAATGCAAATTTTAATCTTGATCTTTGGCTTTGACTTGCAAAATTAAATTTTACAGCTTTTATTACTTGCTTATTCGTGCTCATGGGGCTCATGTCATTCATTAAACCATGCCATAACTAGTATGCTTGCTATCAAACAAATTTTTTTAAGGAAAATTTTCTTGTATTTGTATATATAATATATATATGTATCTATCTATCCCTGTACCTAAATAACGTGTATCAATTGCTTGTCATGGCAGTAACACTTTCTTTGTAGTTTTCTAGTTGTAATTTTCTCGTTTCTTTCTTGTTACCTTAAAAAAATGTTTTTCGATTGAAGTCTGTTGCCTACTTGGATAATAATTAAAATGTAAATGATATGACCGTTAGTCACAGTTCGCGAAATAAATAATGAATTAGTCATTGTTAGATTGGTGAATTACTGTTTACTGGAAAAATTACTAAATCAGGTCAGGTTTCGTACTGGATTGACGTACGACAAAATATTCGTTCATATATCGACAAAATATGAATAGGTCTACTATAAAAATAAAATATTTGCAACATAAGTGCATTTAAAGAGTTTTGTCCGATTAGTCACAGTTCGAGAAGAAGTATACTATACTCTAATAATGGATTTTTAGTCTATTGTTAGTGTAGAAAATTAAGTATGAACTGAACTTTTAGTTAAGGGAAAAATCCTTTAACATAAATCGCGCAACTTAAAGTTTGGGTCGTACTGGATTGGCGTACGACAAAATGACCCACCATTCGTTCCAGTATATCGACCAAAATATGGAATCAGGTTACTATAAAAAATAAAATATTTGAATATTAGTAACATTTAAAGCCAGAGCCAGTATTTGCTCCTAGATTAGCATTTTTTTATGCAAGAAGGTAGGAGCACTTTCTTTTTTTTTTTTCTCCCCCCCACACCCCCCCCCTTTCTCCTCTTTTTTTTCTTCTCCAATATACTTACTTAAGCAATTTATTATGATTTTTCTTTCCACGTATTCTTTGTACCATACAGTAGTATTAGTTTACGGCAGGATCCATAATTAGGAGTACAACAAAAAAATACGATATGTCCTACTGGGGCGCGCCACGATTAGTAACGAGCAAAAACCGACACTAACGGAACCCGTTACTCTTCAACGATAAAGAGCCCTTTCGTCGCAACTTTAAAGTTTAAGGCTGCGCGGTAGAAAAACTCAACATTGAATGTAAGGCAATAATACCGTGGTGGTAATTAACACTACTTATTAATGACTGTTTGAATGCGTTAATTTTTGAAGTTATAGTTCTTTTGGCGCGTTAGGGAAAAATGAAGATAGTAATTTTTTGTGTCTCACAAAACCGACACCCGGAAGTTAGCATAGTTAAAATTTTAAAATAAAAAATGTCCATTTCTTTAATTATGAAGAAATAAGTTTTTTGTGATATGTTATATAAAATTTATTTATCTAGATAATGCCTTATAATAAAACTTTCAATGTATTCAATACCTTGTTTCTATTGTTAGTGTCGTTTTTTCTACAACTGTAGAATGATGCGAAACATAAAATTTTGAAAAGATTTTTATTTTGCTACGCCAAAGAAGTATAACTTCTAACGCGTGTACCAGTACGTCACACATGTATATTTTTACCTAAATATCATTCTACGCCTAAGTTCCGCGAGATCTCAAGGCGATATCAGCGCTAAAGGTATCGAGAGAACTACATCCACTTGCATACAAAAACGACGGCCTCACTACTGGAAGTTACATAGTGAGAGTTCTGCCTTGCGATTCTGTAACTCACTTTTCGTGGCATTCTGATAAACAATAAACTACAAGCTCCCTCCTTATCAGAATGCCAAATCATAAAATGACTACTTCACGACTGATTTGAGCGCGACCGGCGCTGCGAAAACCGCTGTGTGAGTTCGAAAAGTGAGTTACAGAATCGCACGGCTGACCAGATTTGATTTGTGGCGTAAGTGGGTTGTGCGTACGCGACAATTTCTGAAAATTAAGTGGCCAATATAGTTTTCGTAATTTATAATCATAATAATTTATTTTCAAGAATATGGTACAATCCTATTTTATTCCTATATTATTTCTATATTAAATATATTATCACATTATCCAATTAATATTAATTATAAAGTTTCACTCAAATAATCATTAATAGTAAATAATATTAAAAAATTATAAACCTTGATTGTCATATAAAGAACCTAACAACCTGTAACATACAAGCCTTCCGACAGGTTTTTCCTAACATTCACTATCAGTATCATGTATCTAACGGGTCATACGGTAAAGGGCATCGTATATCAACTTTGTTGTACAAGCTTGCTTTCTCCAGTAACTTGTTTCATAATGTCTGGGAACCAAAACACGAATGTATTCAAACCTTGTATCTATTACATAATATATATAAATTACGCGTGACGTTGTTCGTTCGCTATGGACACCTAAACTACTTTACCGATTTCAATCAAATTTGCACACAGTTTGATCTAACTTAAAAGATAGGATAGCTTATCTTAATTTATACCCGCAATATTATTTTATTGAAAATTATTTGTTTATTATTTGACAGTCACAATTCTAACAGATGGCGCTGTGTTGAAAGTACTAACGTTTCACATAAGCTACAATTTAATGGCAAAACCACCAAAAAAGCATGGTCCCCATGACTGGTGTTCTCCTACCATTTCCCTTGAATAGTTTACTACTATGTAACATAACAAAAACCTTAGCCACACCAACGCTTGGCCGAGTCTGCTAGTAGATGTATACCTAAGTTAAAGATAATATTTTATTGCCAGTTCTTTCTTTCGTTCTACGCCCTTGATTTGAGAACTGGCAGGAAATGTAAAATTAGAAGCATTAATATGTTTTTCTTTACTGACAAGTCATAAGTGTACCTACATGATTAAATGATTTTTTTACTTTTACTTTACTTTATTAGTGAGTGGGGAAATAATTCAAAATAATTTACACTGCGTCATTTTGCTATCTGAATATGGTGGCTTGGTGGAAAATGTAAAAACGAAAAACGTACAAGTTTTCATTCTGATTCCAGTGATATTTCACCTGCCTTTTAAAATGTTGATTAAAAACAGATGGGAATTTATGTCCTATTGGCGGATAACGGGACTTATCGCTTTAACAATTTCGGATTAGTACTTATGTCAACAGCAACTGCATATTTATATTCTTAAAATGCCTGCAAGCTCTCTGGCATCTCAATGCGATGTCCATATCTCAGTGTCCAAGCGGCACTTGACATCATGCCTCCTGCACCCTGGTCTATAAAAAAAACCATATCTAAACAATTGCAGTCATAATATAGGTTCATGATGTTTTTGGGGCACTAATTTTATAACTCCCGAGTGCAGTGGCCGTGCTCAATCGCTTTACTGGCTCTCTGCCATTGTCTTACGGTGACCTAAGGTCTGTTCTACTCAAAGTAGAAGAGTTTTGCAGAGTATATGCGTTAATATATTTTTTATTATGTAAACTAATACATTACTCGTAAGTACCTACATAATCCTATATTATTTAATCATATATTATGTAAGTTATAATTAAAAACGAATCAAAAGTAAATGACTAACTTGACTTATAGAGCTCAATTAAATTAAGTCAATTAAGTTAAGACAATGTCCTAATGTCCCCCAGGTGGGGCAAAGGGTATCCAGGGTACATCAGTCTGACCGGTCTAGGGAAGGACAGAAGTCGTTTTTGAAGGCTTCATGGCTTCAGCGTGCGATTCTCATCCCCAAGGTCCTACGTTGGAACCCCGGCTGTGCATAAATAGAGTTTTTGTGTGTGCGCATTTAACACTGGCTCGTACGGTAAAGGGAGTCATCGTGAGGATACCGGCATGCCTTAGACTCAAAAAGTCGACGTGTGTCAGGTACAGAAGGCTGATCACCAACTTGCCTATTAGAGAATG